GTGTGTATGTATATGAAAAAAAAAAAAAAAAAAAAAGGGTTTCTATTTCCTCTCTGGCATGGTTTCCTCCATGCATCCCTGGTGGGAGGGACTAAGACGCAAGTGAGGGAAACGGGGATGCAATTAAGAGACTTGGGATGTACCCCGCGAGAGATAAGGAAATAGAAAGAGCAGGAATATTGTGCTAATCGAAGAAGTTATCTCACATGACGTTCTCCAAAAAGAGAAACGTGTTCAGAGAATATAATTTAGAAGCAATTATTAACAGACTCTTATATGTTAATTCTTACCACAGGCAGTTAAAACCAGCATCATATGTTGAGAAACCGTAACTATTGATAAAAGCGGCAAATGAAGTGCACTACGAGGCAAAGCACAACTCGTTTGAACAAACGTACTCACTCACATCTGAAATGAAGACACAGAAAATAACCATCAGAGAGATGGTTCTATGTATTATTTATAATCCATCCAGTTAAATTTGAAAACTGAGAATAATAATTGCTAAAATATAATTTCTTTATTTGATTTGACAGTTGTTGACTACACAGAGACGTTGTTACTACTAGGCTTCTTGAATATATTTATACATATATATGGCACTAAATAGCGCAAGTTAGATATTATTGTAATGTTTCGGACCTTTGCCCGAGGAGATTTTCTCAATCTGGACCTTTTGTAATTTTAGTTGAATACCCCTGTTGTACAGAACATCGGTGCAGTTCAATTCCAGCCAGAGGTCCTCCTGCGAACGTGTTCGTTGAGTTGTAGCGCTATGGTTATACTATATACTTGGTTAGCCACCTCAGGTTAGCATAGCGTAGGTCCAAACATCAAGACGCTCAGTTGCAAATAAAACGCATTCTTAGCCATAACATGTGCAACACTTCTCCGACGCTGTCAGCCAGGAATACCGTTCGTACAAATCCTTTTCCTGGCTGGGTCAGGGATGCTAGCTGTGGGGTTGGACGACCCTTTCTTACGATGTCCAGCTTTTCTGGAAATGTCCTTCTTGAGAAATCCGTTTCTCCTCCTTCAGCCATTGAGTGTTAAAAAAACAAAAACTAGGTAAAAAAAAAAAAAAAGAATCTACACCAAGCAAAACACAAAAAAAGTCATGTCAATATCATAACTTCTTACATATCTTTCAACTTGAACTGTTACTACTAATACTAACTTCTGCTAGCTGCTTCAGTGACACTAGCCCACTGACCAATCACAGCACACGTTATTGCTGAGCTGCACGTTAATGCTGACGTACTTGTAGACTACCTCGGTAGCTCTGGCACTTCAAAGAATACAAATGTCAAACTAAATATCTGATTGGTTGAAGACTATGACAATCAACAATATCATCCCCATTCACTTAAACTGCACATGGATGCACTTGAGAGTGCAGGCCTCTGTTCTTACCTAGAGACACAGGTGAAATCTGATTGGATAAAAGCTCTACTTAAAACAAGCTGCACTGGAAGCAGAGCAACTGAGGAAGACAGTAGCTGTGCAATGAGAAAATAAGATAATGGGAAAAATAATTAGAATACATCGTGTGTTTGTGAAAAATTATTAAATTATAAAATTGCTATAACTTTGTGATTCTGTTCGTGAAATTGGCATATAAATTCTTGAGTTATGGACAAAACATGGGTTTGGGCATATGTTGTGAGGTCAGTGACATGTTTTAGTGACCTGAAAACAAACTCACACTGAGGCATATTTCAGAAGAAATATGTGAAAAATGATTGTGAGCAAACATGGACGAGAAGTTAAGAAAACTGGGAAATTTGCATTTCCTTGACAACCGGGCCAACTTGTTCTGTTGAGGAAGACGTGATCTTAAAATGATCTTGTGGTGAGATTGTCTGTTAGGGTCATCAAAAGAGATGATGAGTCAGCAGTCTGCTGGGACATTAAAAAACACATTACTCTTATTTTTGTTCATATCCACGATTTATTTTTATTAGTACCCATTCTTTTCTGGGATTCACCAATGTTTTCTTATCTTTACCCTTCTCTTTGGTAAGAGAACATTTTACGAGCTCTCTTACCAAAATAGTAAAAAAAAAAGTCTCGTTTATCCAGCACAAGGAAACGTAAATTTGGAATTTGAAGCTCACTGAAGAAATGCTTGAACATCTAATAAACAAATTTAGATTATTATATGTTTTAGAGTAATTATAGGATTATTAAAAAAATAGTATTGATCCGTTAATCCCATTATTGACTATAAAAACCTCGGATAATGGGGGAGTTAAGCTTCTGAATGGCTTAAATACTGCTCTTAGATTTTCATGTAACGTCAGTACTGAAAATCACACATTTACTTTAAGTTTGTTTCACAGAACCTCGACTTCGCTACTGAACTTCTTCTCACAGCACATTGGTGGTGGCATCTCTCCATTTCTCAGAGTATCTGCACAGGGCACAACACCTGTCCTTATATGGTGTTTAGGGGGCGTTACCTATACTCATGTAATCAGTGAAGAACCTGATCAGATCAGATTTGGATGGTTATGGACTTTGGATGCATCCGGAGTAGACTTCTCTTAGTTTTTCTCTTCATAGAAAATGAATTGTTTCATCAGTGACACAACTGGTGATTTTCAACAATCTACTCAGATCTGCTTTGTCAAACCAATCCAGTTTCTCCCCATTAGAGCACTGCTCGTGACTCTACTGGCTGAAATTGACAGGAGGTGCTTGTTTATTGGAGGTTTCGACAGGTGGAGGGTGTCAATGAAACTTAGTGGAAGTCTAAAAGTGTCTGGTGCTAAACAGGGCAGCAGAGCTCCTGGTTTCACTGGTTCAAAAAAAAAAAAAAAAGTGTCTGTTAGTTACAGTGTGAAAATAAACAAAGAATTAACAGAACACATCATTTCAGCAGAATCTCTGCTCTTAAGGCATGAATATGATATTTAAAGTGTCAAGAGAATCAAACATTTAATACTGGAAAACGGCCAAAGACTTGATTCTCATCATTGGAGCAGCAGGTCTGTCACGGCTCCGTGTGAAACTCGGAGTCCAAAATTGAGCTGGATAAATAAAGACTAAAAAGATTTTCCACGGTCTACGTTTTGTTGTCCTGCGGTCGTCTCTCCTCCCGTCAGGGAGCACTGGCATTCATTTTCTCCTGGCAGCCGTCCCACAGGTGGAGCAGTCTGTTGTCCTTGTTGGTGCAGAAGTCGGAGAAGTCCCTGAGCAGGCGGTCGGCCAGCCTCTCGTCCCCCAGCACGCCTGTCCTCCAGGCCTTGGTGAGCATGGTGTTGTAGGCCCAGTAGTAACCGACGCACTCCTCGCCGCCGTACGGGCCCTGGCTGTTGGACGTGGTGGAGTTTCTGCGTCGGCGCTGCTGCCCACTCGAGTACTTCCTCTTTGAGTACGGCAGCTGCAGGAACACGGTGCCTGACGGAGGAGAAGGCAGATTGAAGCTCGTCGGCCTCCAGGAAACAGACGTTTTTTTTTAATTTTTATGTGATGTGACAAACCTGTTACGTGGATGTACTGGGGCTTGTTCTCAGAGGGGAAATTAAAAGCAGAAGCAGAAACCTTGTCGTGCACGAAGCCAAATCTGGTAGAAAGAGCACAACATTTACACACGTTTGCATGATGTAACTCTGACACGCTGTAATTCACTGTAACATAGCATGGTGCTATATTTGTGCCTCATTCCGGAGCACAAATACAAACTACATGGAAATACATTATATTTTACAGAGAATGCATTATCACCCAAAATGTTAAGTTTAATTTGAGCCGGTTAGATAACTTGATGATTCAAGCTACCGAGATACAACAATATAATCATCAATGGAGTTCCTTTAAAAAAAAGTTGAGATAAGATATTTTGTTGAATAGAGCGTACTACATCTCATTTTAAAGCCTGCTATGAAATGGTTAATAGTTATTATTATGCTAGTCAGCTGTTACTAACATTTTCACAGGCGCTACTGTTATATTTTAGTTACACTATGCAGCAATTATCACATACTGTTGGTAAACAACATCCAAGTACACTCTTGTACAGTTACAAAAGTACCAATGCGTATTCGTACACCTGCCGCTAGGTCTCGGCATACAAAAGCATGTTGATAGAGAGCAGGGTCTCTGCTACACACTTCTAATATTCATATTCATAAGTGATGAAAAGGGTTTATACATTATGGGATTAAACATTCTATGTTTTTTTACCATTTCAATTTTATACCTTTAAACTGATTATAATGCCATGGCTGTGTAACTGGCAATTGACCCTTTGATAAGCCCCGCCTCCTGCTGCTACTCAGTCAAGCTGTCAGAGCTTGGAGCCCACACTGTCACTAACTGCATCCACTGAAGAAATATGATCTATTTATTTAAAAAACAGTGATTTTAGAGAGAAGCAGACAGAAGACGATGAAATGAAGGAAGGTAGGTTTTTACTCACTGTTACACTCAAACAGCAAAAGCAGCTTGTGTATACCTTCAGTGGCTAGCGTAGCATTGAAGTGCTAATGCTAGTTAACAATGTGCTAACGTACTCTGCTAATCAGCTTTTTACTTAGAAAACGTAACGTTTTAAAAACGTATAAATCTCCTTCCAACCTCTCCGGGTAACGAGTATCACTATCACACGTTTAACCACGACGAGCTCCAAATCCACTAAACCAGCCTGAAGATGAAGAACATCTGAAACCACTGATGAGAGTCTATGGAGCAGAGCAGGATAGATGTTGGGCCCTGGTCAGAGCTGGACGATGCTACGCTGTGATTGGCCAGTCTGCTTTCAAGTGGCGGGACTTAGCAAAGGGTCAATTATCATGTTAGACAACTGAAAGATAGCTCAGCTACTGCGTATCCAGCAGGAGTTAGCGAGCTACCTACCAAGATAGCTGGGTTTTACTTACAAATGGAATGTCATGAAGGTTCATTAAACTGGTTATGCATCCAAAACTATTTATAATATGAGGTGTGGCTGTGATCTGTAACACAGTGATCAAGATGAAAATAAAACTTTTGCTCGCTCAAATGAAATAATCCTTTGAGTGATTATAACGTCTCTACAAAACATAATTCCTGTGTTTACAAAGTTAATTTGCTGTTATCAAAATGCCCCATTGTGTCATTGGGATTGAGACACACATAAATATACCATGAAATGTAAAACAACAACCTGTAGAGTATGGCCTCCTGAAAGAGCTGCATCCTGTCCCAGTACGTCTCAGGTTCAAAACCTGTTGGATGAGTCCAAACAGACGACAACATGTGACTGAGCTGCTGTACACATCACAGACAGGAAGTCAGACGGCTTCTGTACCTTCAAACAGGTTGTCGCCGGCGTTCTTTAGCAGACAGTGGATGTTCAGAGGGATGAAGAGCTGGGCTCTCAGTGGATCTCCATACAGGTACGACGTCATTGCGAAGGGAACCTCCAGCACAGGGACCAACAGGAAGCCGCAGGAGGCCGCTTTCCTGTGCCACCCTTGAACCTGATGGACGATAACGGATTACAAAATGGCAAAATGGCAGTTCACCCGTTTTATTACATTACATTACAGTCATTTAGCAGACGCTTTTATCCAAAGCGACTTACAATTCAGATTCTATCACATTTCTACACCGTAGGCACAGCTACGGGAGCAATTTTGGGGTTAAGTGTCTTGCTCAAGGACACATCGACATGCGAGCCAGAGCCAGGGATCGAACTGCCGCTCCTCTGATCGAAGGACGGCCCTGCTATCCACTTAGCCACAGTTGCCCATTATTATTAAGATATTCTCCGTCTCTGCTGTAGTAACCAAGTTAGAAACAAACAAAAACACAATTAGCATCAAATCACTGAAATGTTCAGCAGTAGCTGACTAGAAAGTTCCTACACTTTAAAAAGTTGCTCTGATGTCCTTAAGAGTCTTGAATAGCATTCAACTATATATTATTATTAATTTCAAGTTAAATCTTTTAACCAACATCTGTCCTAATCATGAATAACACATTTTCAGAATTATAACCCTTGAAATATATTTATTTTTATAAAGGAAAAATTAAATGGAATTATTTTCTGTATGCTAGGGGGATTTTTTTCACAGTCTGGGATACGTCAATGATTACCAACAACCTTGATTTTTATGCACTGCATCAAACACTCAAACACAGCAATGTCCCGACTGGAAACCAGGAAACTAACAAGTGTTTGCCACATCGGGCGAATCTCAATCTGGTGGAAAATAGTAAAAACTACAACTTGATGGTGTTGGTGCACTGCATCATTGAGTCCATCCTCCACTCCTCTTCCTGCTGATACTTGAATACTAGAATACATTTGTAATTTCCTCAATGCTTGTGTGTCACTAGCTGCCAGACAACCAAAAGAGTTTGTGTTGTTGCTCCGTGTTTCTTTGTGTTGATACTGAGCATTTAGGGTGTGATTGAAAAGATTTTGTTGATAGCAAGTGATCAGGAAGTATTATGGTGTCAGTGCTCATCTGGTTTTACACATCTTTTCAAGGTGTGTCAAAACAACAGATGTATAAAGTCTTCTGTGTCTCCATGCGGAGCAGCATTAGAACTAAGAGAAGTAGGTCTTACACCCTTAGAGGTGACTGGAAGACCCTTCTGCTATCAGAAGATAGACTAGAAAAAAAAGAAAAGAAAAAAACCTCTAATCGAAAGCTGACTGTTAACTCTTCCAGCCTTAGAGACTGGACTACGCTTCTGCTAAAAGAAGACAAGCTTAAAGGCAACGAAAGCTGATTGAGGAAAACCTGTTAAATTAGGATTGCTAGTATTAGCCTTTGAACCACTGAGACCGTTTCATTGAGTTGAGATTGTTGTATGTGACTGTTGTAAGAAAACTTTAATAAAACCACAGCCTTACCATTTGTAAGTGTCTGGGACCCAAACTAAAGACTCTGGTTCTTTAGACTAGTTTAACCCTCTTCCCCTGTCCCTCAAACGTGTGATACAGGTGACGAGCGACTCTACCAGAGTAAGTTCCCTGGGTGAAGACTTGGCAGTGTTAGTCAAAATGGTGAGAAACATAAAATAGGCAATATTAAAGTATAGACGATCTACATAACTACTCATACTGAGTGTTAGGGTTACATCCTACTGAGAGCGCCTAGGGCGCAGCCGTACAAGACTCTCAGAAAGACAATAATTCCGAAATCCTAACGACTCAGCTATGGGGTGAGATAAAAGGCCGAAGGTATTTTTCTGACACCTCTGTGGGACACTAAAACCCACGAAGGTTGGTCGGACTACTAACGGAGTTACCACCGTGTTAGGTACGAGGGCAGGACCCGTTCACGCTGCAGTCTCTTGACATGTGAAGAATTTGACCCACTGACAATTAACCAAAACAAAAAGAAAAAGACATCTAGATACCATCTCAAAAAGCACTGCAGCAGTGACGGCCATCCAGTGCAGCTTGATCTCAAAGGCAGAGTTGAGTGAGAAGTTTCCGTGGTAATAACAGCTGCACCATTCGGTTCGGTCACTGCGGTTGTTAACGTCCACATCCAGAGTGACCGTCTTCTGCTCCGGGACCGTAGCAGCTGGGGGACAGACAGAGGGAGGGAGAGAGAGGGAGACAGGTGGAGAGACAGGAAGACAGGAGGCAAAGGAAGCACAAGAAGGGGAGATGGATGGCATGATGGGCAGGCAGGCAGGAGTAGTGAGAGCAGGTGGTGAGTGAGGATTACATCAAGTTGAAACAGCATGAATGTCTACATTATCCCAGGTTTAATAAAGAGCAATTAGAACAACAAATAAACTATGAATGCAGCCAGTGTCTCGTGAACAACTTCAGCATCACATTATTCAAGGACACCAGAGGTCAGATCACAAATTGGAAAGCATTCATCTTGCAAAGTTGTTGCTTTAAAGAACGCAAGCATTTCCAAATATGCCGAGGTCAAAAGTGACAAATGAAGCTTTGAGCAGTCGCATGAAGCAAGAATGGAGCCGAAGAAGAAACACCGTTCCAACGCGCCGTGTTGTGATGGTGTTTCTGAGCGCGACAGGAGCACACCACAGCACTACTGAACCACAGCCACTAACACCACAGCATGCACTGAAACACCACACCAACCGATTACTGCTCCTGGATCAGCTACACACTGACCCCGCTGCATGCACTAATTGGAAGGGGCGGGGGATCACACCGATTAGGGATGTGGACGACAGATCACTCTACAGCTAGAGGTAGGAGACTCTCGTCATGCGCTACACACTGGAGAACACAATGCAGATCTACGGTCCACCCTCAGGAGAGCTGGGTCCAGTATCTCTGTCCCACCACAAGGAGATGATGTGGGTGATGGACGGTGACAAATATGTCATGAAATGTTATATGAGGTCACAGAAGCAGTTCTGTGGTGATAGTAGGAATCCCACCGTGTGAGTTGGAAAATGATGAATTTGTTGTAGTCTGCCAAAAGCCTAATTATATTTACTGGCTAATTTTGTCATAGCCATTTTACATTGTATCTAATTAATTGTAAAGTCAAGTGTAAAGGCTAACATGTACAGCTAATGATACAAATTTGAGACAGCCTATTTAAAATGTAAAAACTGAATCCAGTAATTTTGCATTTTCACTACGTAACATTAGCAACCGAAAACAAAGAGCCGCAGGTAGATGTGGATGAATGTTGTATGGAAGATCGAGGGCTCATTTGAGCATGCTCAGTTCGTTCCTGGATCAGGTGAAGGGTGGATATTGGGCTGGGCCAACTGTGTGCATTAATAATCAGCAGCAGCACTGAAACAGCCAATTAGGATTTCTGTTTGTATAGAACAGTAGTCTATACAAACAGTCAGGTCTACCTGACCAAGAGCCCTTGAACAAATGCACCCTCTGTGCTTTGTGTGATGTAAAAACTGGACCCAGACAACTCTCTGAAGTACAGACTTGTGATCTGCATCGGACTGGATCAGGTGTGGGCTGGGTGTACCTAGCAGTGCGGCGGCCTGGCTGCGTCCTCCAAAGCTGCGGCTGAAGGAGCTGTGCCTACTTGCGTAGGAGGCCGGCCGGCTGGGCAGCCAGGGCAGTAGGAAGGCAGGGAGGTCGCAGGGTCGCCGCTCCTCCAGCACAAAGGCCACCTCGAACCACTTCCTCTGGAACAGAGCAAAGTCCTCCAGGGCTGCAGCAGACCAGCCCCCAGCCGCCATGGAGGGAAGCTGGGAGGTCGGGCCTGCAGAAGAGAGGACTGCCAAGAATGTCACAACACACGCTGTTTGCATAGTATTAATTATAGATGTTGTGGCAAACCAGGGGAAACAGCAATGCCAATCCAACACAGGAGGCGGATCCCCAAGCTCAGGTTGGGGGAGATCATATAGGGGGGCACTGAGCACATGGGATTGGTCACACCAGCAACCCATCAGGTAATCTGGGGAGGCATCTGTTCACCCAGTATCAAAGCAGCAGCAGTTTGAACAGAGGTTTAAGCTCAGACTAAAGCGTAGTGAATCCGGCGCGTGCCAGGAAATTACGTAATCAGGGCCAGCGCACAAGTGCTTGGTCGTGCACCTCTGAATTTTTGTAATGGCATGCACGATCACGTGACAAGTTCACAGATAAAAGGACTATTTATATGACTGCAAATTGTATACAAGGAAGGCCATTTCGTTTTTAGATGTTTTAGAAACAGGAGGCATATACTGTATATAGTATATATTTTGCCAGCCAAATCAAATTGTTTACAGGATATTCACAGATTTTTACAGATAATTACAATTCCTCCGCGGCATTGTGGAGGTTGGTTAATGGCTTTTGGCCCGTTACACCTACAGTCTATGGGTTACACTCGTTGACCTTTGGATTCTTCACAGTAGTGTATCAACGCCAAGAGGCTGGAAAGAAGACCACCGGTGCAGGCAAACCAAACAAATCTCCTTTACCACTGGGGACCAACCGCAAAGACTCCCCTCTCTCACTGGATAGTGGAACCCCACCGCCTTGAGAGAAGGCTAAAGTCCAAAGACCCCTGACCGGAGGATTCTTCAGTTTAAGCTGGACCCCACTCCGTTTCCCCGAATTCTTTTGGTGTGAATCTTGCCTCCAAGACCCCTGGGTTGCCACAATACATACAAGTACGAGCATGTGTACCATCCTTCTCTCCCACGATCCTGTAGAAGTAGAATCCGTAGACGAAGGTGCGCATGGCATCTCCAGAAGCGTGGGCCACCACACCTTCATCCAGCATTTTCTACACAAACCAAACACAGCTCAGCAGATGCATAAAAGTAGGAAAAAAAAAGCCCTGTGGAGTTTTCCTGTTTACCAAACAAGTTATTCACCTTAAGGCACTGTGTGTATCCTTCAACTTTAACAAATGATTGGAATGTGTTTCCATTATTTTCAGCAGGCCAAAGAAAGAACATCCTAACTCCATGGGACATTTTGAGTTCATAAAAGTAGCATTCTGGATTCTCTAAGCACCACAGCTGTCTCTGAAGAACATATTATGTCTTGTTTCTTTAATCAAAACACAAACCAAACTGTAAAAACAAGTTGGTGTTCGGAGTGGGAACATTTCCAAGACAGGAACAGTGACGTCCTGTCACTGCTGGTTGCCTGGCAACCTCACAGTGACAATAGGACTCCAGGACAGTTTGGTTAATAATCTAACTGTTTGCCTTCGTTTTCTCTTCCAAAAACGCTAACCTGGAGGATTGTTTAAAACCTGTCTGATCATCTGTTTCTTGTCCTGTTGCACTTCTTTTCAGTGATGTTGCTGCATTCCAGCAACTAAGCCAGTGAGTAAAATGTTATTGAATATTAGCATAAGTTGTAATAAATCCTTAAACTCATTATGGAATCTTGCTCACATCTTTCCTTGTTCACATGACACTTTTCTTCAACTTAAATGGAAAGTTGGAACATACAACTCTTACCTGCATGATATCCACAGCCATCGCCTGTGTGGCCACGCCCTCCACATTGTTGACCAGCCAATGAACGACCTCTGCGCTAATAAAGCAGTTGAGTGGAAGGCCTTTCTGCTCCGGCAGCAGCTGTACACCTGTCCTGTGATACCAGAGGGCACAGATAACTATAATCTATCTCATACAAATGCAGAGGATATAACTTTGTTCAACCAAAGCCAAGACCCCGTTTTTCAATTCTACTCTGATTAGGAAAACCTGAGGTGTGCATTTTTAATACATATGTAACTAGAAAAGTGCCTTCAGAAGAGTTGAATCTCACTGTCCTTTCCGGCTCCCTTACAGTCAAGATAGAGTCGAAGATTAAAAAAACAAAACAGGCATTTATTCATCTCGTATTGTGCCAAACGTTTAGTGGGTCCCAACATTACCGGTATGGAATTAATCTGTTATAAAATAAGCCAAACGTTTTCAAAGGATGTCAGTTTTTGACCCACAACAAAGGTCAAAATATGCCCTGCAGCAGACTATGAAAGGCCTGTTTTTAGACTAAACTTTCTGTGTTTTACCGATATGATATTTTTATCCTTCAGGGGTAATAAAAAGCATTATTTCCTCTCTAAAGGCAGAAGTTCTGGTGAATACACACATGTATTTTACAACATATATAACCCTACTCCAATGGAGAACCAAGCGTATTGCAATATAATGATAGACAAGAGGAAAACCTATACATAACAAAAGCATATATTAAATGATCTTAACTAAAACTGTTTAAATGAATATAAAATGCATATACATAACCACATACTGGTTACAGTAGCCACATGAAAGATTCTGATGGGTCAACTGGTTCAAACTGTGTCAAATCAGCAAAAGCCAGAATGTCTGAGTGGATGTGTAAATGATTTGTGAGCCACTGTAACTCAAGCATACCAAGACCCAAACGCACACAATGACGACTCTTACGTGGGATGTTTGATGGCCTCCAGGATCTCCATGAGTGTTGAGGAAGAGGACAGAGAAAGGGCTCCCGCTGCAGACTGCCCACTATGGACAGATATCACCGGTCAGGTTACTGTTCAGGCAGATTATCTAAAATTCATCATTGGTTCTCAGTTTCAGAGCATTTAACAGTACATTTTAAAAGAGTAAAACTTTATAATACAAATATATGTAAGATACTATTTAGCTTTGCTATGGTGTGCATGTTTAAAGTGTCCTGTAATCCTTTATATTAGCATTAGCATTTTTTCACAGCTGTCCCAGCAGTAGAAGAACTAAAAGGCCACCTGGTGTCTGAGGTGCTGCTGCTGGCTGCAGTCTCTCCTGCAGGCTGTGCTGCTACAGCTGTCACTGCTGGCTGGACTCCTTTATCTGCAACCTCGCTGGCTTCAGCAGGCAACTGCACAGTTAAAAGTACTTCACTCAATTTGCTGTTGCATTTCAGCAAAGAGCATATTAAACAATGTGATCTTCAGTCATGCCTTGCACGTGGTTCTATTTGTCCAGGTTGAGATATCTGACTTGGAGATTTCAGCCACCACACCAATACAGTGGAGGTGAACTGAGTTCTGCTTGTGCTGCATGGAAACATAACATTGAATAGTGTATCTTTTTCAATGGGTAGATCACAGTGGACGTGAAGTAAATGTGTCTGTTTGAAACAGACTTTTTTTTACTAAGTCCTCATATCATGTAAGGAATCTGGGTCCAGTTGTGTTACAGAACGTTAGTTACACTAGGACCATTACATGTATTGATTTTAGGATTTAGGCCGCTCAGTCATTGAACGTCGTATAATGATGGCAGCGGGGACGTTGCTAGTCGTTTTGGTGCCCCAGGCCAGACATCTAATGGTAACTGGTTAGGATCATATTCAGGAGATAATATGGAACATAAGACCCCTGGTTATTTATAACCTTGTATGATTCTAACAATATCCAGGTTTCTACATCTGACAATCGCTATGATTTCTGTACTGAGGCAAAGGTATTATCAGTAGCCTACATGACTGTGTTTTTTGCTTTTTGCTGAAGAAGGTTCCTAACTGAATGAATTGACCCATAAGTATCCAAGTGTCAGCCATGATTAGAGCTGATGGAATGCTTCAACCTTTCCTTTCTCATCTCCTTTAAAATAGATTACACCAGTGGTGGGCCGTCAGGGCCAGCTAAGCCTTCTCTGCTGGCCTAAACAGAATCACAAAGTTAGAGCTATTTTATCATTTAATAATTTTTCACAAATACACTAGCCTACATGTATTGTAATTTTTTTTCCCATTAGCTTATTTTCTCATTGCACAGCTCCTGTGTTCCTCTGTTGCTCTGCTTCCAGCACAGCTTGTTTTAAGGAGAGCTTTTATCCAATCAGATTCAGCCCCTATGTCTCTATGTAAGGAGAGAGGCCCGAGGTCCTCGAGGTAGACTTTGCAGATTAAAGTATATGGGGATAATATTGTTGATTGTCATAGTCTTCAACCAATCAGATCTTTAGTTTGACATGTTGGGCGTATTCTTTGACGTGCCAGTGGTACCGAGGTAGCCTGCTAAGTACGTCTGCATTAAGGTGTGCCGTGATTGGTCAGTGGGCCAGTGTGACTTTTGTCAAACAGAAAGCTAGCTAGCAGATCTTAGTGTTTAGTAAGAATTCAGGTTGAAACATATGTAAGAGAAGTTATGACATGTTTAACGTTTTGCTTGGTGTAGATTCTTTTTTTTTTTAACCTAGCTGTGTTTTTTTAACACTCAATGGCTGAAGGAGGAGAAATGGATTTCTGGAGAAGGACATTTCCAGAAAAGCTGGACATCGTATCAAAGGGTCGGTCAAGCCCACAGCTAGCAGCCTTGACCCAGCATGGAAAAGGATTTGTATGAACGGTATTTCTGGCTGACAGCGGCGGAGAAGTGTTGCACATTTTATGGCTAAGAATGCGTTTAATTTGCAACTGAGCTCTTGCTGTTTGGAGCTAAGCTTTTGTACAACTGTCTTGAAGTGAACAGCAGCTCTGGTAAGTCAACTGCTTTTGCGTTTTTACATCTGCAGTAGTGTTTCTACTGTGTTCATTTGTCTATCGTGTAGTTTTTATGAATAATATGAATGGCTCGTGCTCTAGCGCTGCAGTGTTGCTGGGTTGATTTGTTGTCATATAAATATATGCGACTGGTTCTTGTCATTGTGTTAATTACATTTATTTGGACTATATGCATTGTCCGTTAATTACGAAGCATCCCGTCATGCGCGGGGTTATTGTCTGGACAATTGAATCCATTCGGGCTGTTGTTTCCCCGCTAAGCAAGTTAGCTTAGCCTCCCTGAAGACACGTGCAGTGCCACAGTCTCAGCTGTTTTTTGTTATTGTTCCTGGTTCAGAGGTCACACAGCCCGTTGTCTGTTACGTGAGCGAAGTCCACCGAAAACATTATATTTCCCTCAATTTAAGCTTCTGCATTTTCCAAATGCACTAGTATTATTCAAACGTATTGTTCGGTTTGTAAGCCTCGTACCGAACGGTTTAATAGGAATACTTGATGTTACACCCCTAGAAACAAATAACCATAGTTTATAATGAGTTTATTAGGAGATGGCTCAAGTGTAGTCGGACAGCACAGAAGGCCCAGGTATGAAATGCACGGCCCGCCACTGGATTACACTAACCCGTCCTTTACAAAAGGAAAGGAGATAATGCTGTCCCATAATTCCTTGCGGCAGCAACATTTAAAGTGATGCATCATTTCGACGTCAATCTCATCTGCAGCTGCGTGGTGTAAGTGCAGTCAGACTCTCTTAACATCGCGGTTGCCTTTTCCTAAGTCCTAAGGATGTCTTTCCTTGACCTCATGATGTTTTCCATCGAGCCAAAAATAGTTAGGAAAACACATTGGACGGGACTATTTTCAACGTCAGCCCATATTCTATGATCCAATTTTTACTTAATTCCTATAAACTACCCAATATACTGCATACAGTGCACACTTTGTCTACAGGAAGCTCAGATTTCAAATTTGAAAAGCTGTTTCGATATTTTGACATCTGATAGCATTAAAGGGACAATTCACCCCAAAATCAAAAATACATATTTGGCCTTTTACCTGTAGTGCTATTCATCAATCTAGATAGTTTTGGCGTTGCCGAGTGTCGGAGATGTTGGCCGTAGAGATGTCTGCCTTCTTCCACTATAATGGGACTAAATGACTCTCAGCTTGTGGGGCTCAAAACGCCCAAAAAAATACTTTTGAAGAACTCAACAGCAAAGTCTCTTTCCAGAAATCATGAGCAGGTTACTCAAAATAATCCAAATCCCTTTGTTGTGAGCAGTTTCATGTAGGAAGTATGGTGGGTGGTTATTGGAAAACTAAAGAATTAAACGTTAACTAAAATCTCTTCTGCAAATACAGATAATACCTAATCATGAAAGACAGTTTGTTGTCAGCTCACTGCGACTTTGCATGATGTTAAGATTTGTCAGTGCATCACACCTCACTGAATAAGTTGTATGCCTAAATTCTTCAAGCTGTGGGGAACTGCCAACAGCTTGAATCATCACAAATGTACAGATACATGTGATCCCGGTGTGAGAGCTGACAGTGTCACTACCTACCAGCAGCTACTACAGCACTGGGGACAAAGTACAAACACACTACAAGTAAAAACATCATGTGACTACCACACAGAGTGGTTATGCACACCATGCACATGCAGAGTGAGTTAGAGGAGCAGAGGCACATGTAGAGAGACACACACACACACACACACACACACACACACAACGATACTGACCTGAGAGTGATAGATGTAGGAGGAGCGAGGGCTACGTATAAAATCCAAAATAAAGGCAGCATCCTGTCAGCACACAGGAAGAACATAACCCAGGATCAAACACCCAAAAGCCAGCAACAGGAACAGAACAGAACAGAACAGAACACAGGGGACAAATGCAGATGGAAGGAGACACAAGAGCAAAAGCACCACACCAAAGCACCAGCAAAGAAGAACCATTTTATCCCAGTATTTGTTGCAGAGTAAAATACACTCAGATGCGTCTGCAAAAGCTAAGTGCCTGAAGCAAAACTATTTATTCCAATCCACACACAGCACGGATGCTCACCTTGCGGGGGCTGTCCACATATGTGGGAGCTGTGGCAATGCTTGAGGGTTCACTGACGGCTGTTGATGGCTTCGCCTGCTGCTGCTCCTCCAGAGACCTGGGAGGAAGCAGAAAGAGTGCAGTTCAAACTGATATTCGTGGCTCCATCGCTAACAACAAGACAGCCTGCGGTGCCAGAGGGACACTCACTTTTGGTTCTGCTCCATCTCCAGTAAGGCCGATAAAGCCGATGTGCCTTTTTTGCCCTGTGGGGGCACCACAGGCTCTGTGGGATACGAGGGGAGAGGACTGGTGACCTGCAGTCCTTTCATCGGTGTGCCCTTCTGCTATGTGAAAACCAGAGTGAAAGGAACAGAGGAAAGTGTCCATTTCAGCATCTTAAGATACAGCAAATACAAACGTTAACAGAGCAAATAAGAGATGCTTGCGGCTGGCGGTACCACGGTTTTGCAATCAGCAGCTCACGTTACCAAGTGTGTTGGACAACTACGGTCTCCCTAAAACTAGTGTTTGCTTTGCCCGTTCTGGGCTACTAGAGAAAGATGCCGGACTCCCTCACAATTCCTAGTGATTATACACTAATGAAAACATAGTTATGAATATTAAATTCCATTTCTGCCAATAGATACCCCAAAATTCTACAGTCATAT